GTGATTGGGATGGTCAGTAAGGTTTCAGCTAAACCTTGAAGAATATAATAACTGGTCTAGACAGCAACTGTACCCTAAACCTTGGACCAGGTGCAGAGTAAGCAAGTGAAATTCACAGGAAATTAATTAATGCATTATTTAGAATCAGAATCTACTAACAGGAGATTTTTTTTCCTAAAATTTTCTTGCTTATGCCACCACAACCAAGCAAGAGATGATATTTATTTTTAGGTAGATGAAGATACATGAGTAGTATATAATGGATTATGGGTATTTATGAACTAGGAAAAAAACTGAACATCAACTAAACTCATGTAAATTAAAAGAAAGAAAGAAATCTATGCTGAAGGAAAAAAGTAGTAGCTGAAATGTTGACTATAGTCCCTGTCTTTTCAGAGATAAATCTAAATCTATCTTCTAACAAATGCCTCAAAGGCAATGAGTATAATTATGCTTACAAAATTCTTCCTCAAACATTAAAATGATTAGTGTGAATTGCAAAAGACGCATTTCTTCCCTATTCAAAATTACGTACGTTCTTTAAAAAAACGTCAGAATTTCAACAATGTCGTTACCTATACAGCCAGAAGAGCGCCTTTTAAATATAGTTACAATTATACATGTCATTTTCAAAAATCTTTTTAGGTGTACATGTTAGATCACAGAAAAGGAAGGAAAACTGAAATATGAAAAATGATGTGGATGGGGAGACTGTAGCTAGAGGACCAGCCATGTAATTGTTTTTTTGTAAAGTGACTGCTGTCCTTTGGAACATCTCAACTGGTATTCAGACAAGGAGAGCTGTTGCACGGATCTGTAGTACACAAGGTTGGATTCCAGTGTCCTCATGGGGGAGAGAAGAAAGAGGGAGGTCTGAGGCTTGGACCCCTGCATGGAGCTAGGAATGTCAACGTTCTTGGAAGAAAGGAAAAGTGTGGGCTAAAAAAAATTGTTTGACTTGGCAAGGAGGTGGGATAAATACTTCTTTGAAAATTAGTAACTGCAAATCTGCTCTCATAGCACAGGAACTCTCAAATCAAGAAATTAATTTAAGATGCTTCCACCTTTGTAAAATTTCAGAGCAGCTGTTCAAAGTAAAGGGATATTTTCTGTGGAAGACTGCATCCAAACCCCAGGCCTTGCATGACACAAGTAAGTAAGATCAGCAAAATATGAGATCACAATTTAAAATCATAAAATATACTACTAAACAAGCCACCATGAGTGAGATACTGTTGAAACATACAACGAACTAATGTAATTTATATAAATTAAAAATGTGATGTTGCGGTGCCTGGGTGGCTCAGTTGGTTGGGCATCCGACTTTGGCTCAGGTCATGATCTCACAGTCCGTGAGTTCGAACCCTGCATCGGGCTCTATGCTGGCAGCTCAGAGCCTGGAGCCTGCTTCAATTCTGTGTCTCCCTCTTTCTCTGCCCCTACCCTGCCTGTGCTCTGCCTCACTCTCAAAAATAAAATAAAAACATAAAAAAAAATTTTAATGTGATTGTTAAATTAAAATCTTAATAGGTTTAATGGTAGCTTAAACATAAGTGAACAAAGAATTAGGGAACTGGTAGGCAGAACTGAATAATAACATGGTAAAATAATGAAACATAATAAAATATAGGTACAGAGATATGGTATTCTAACTTCCAAAAAAAACAAGTTTAGCATTTATAACTGGGATTTTTCAGAATAAGGGAATAGAGAGAATGAGGGAAAAGACAATATTCGTATTCAAGAATGTAATGATATAACATTTTCCAGGATGGATGAAAGACATCAATCTTTAGATTGAGGAACATTATGAACCTCAAACAGAACAAGAACTCCACATGAAGACATGTAATTAAACCTCAAGACACCAAATTAAAATAGATATCTCAAAACCAGCATAAGAAAAAAGTAAAAATATTTACAAAGAAAAAATTTCCAAATGACAGTGATATTTCAGCTTTCTAATTCATATTTAACATAGGCAAATTACTCCCTCAGTTCTCTATAGAAGCCCTTCCAGTAGCTATCTAAAACACATTGCAACAAACACACACATATTACACCATACACATATATATGTGTATATATATACATATATATGTATGTATATATGTACACATATATATACACACACATATGTAATATATATACACACACACACACACACATATATATATATACATAAACACACACACTTAGGGGTGCCTGGGTGGTTCAGTCAGTTAAGCGTCTGACTTTGGCTCAGATCATGATCTCATGGTTCGTGATTTCAGGACCCACTTAGGGCTTGTGCTGACAGCTCAGAGCCTGGAGCCTGCTTCAGATGCTGTGTCTTCCTTTCTCTCTGCCCCTCCCCCTCTCACACTCTGTGTCTCTCTCTCTCCCAAAAATAAACATTAAAATTTTTAAAAAATACATACTTAAAATTATATATATGGGCTATACTCATACTTTACAGGGAAGTAATTTGTGTTCCACTTTCACAACTTGTTTTTGTTTGTTTATTTGAGACAGAGAGAGAGAGAGAGAGAGAGAGAGAGAAGGAAAGCACCTGAGTAGGGGGAGGGTCAGAGCGGGGAGAGAGAGAATGAGAGGGTGAGAGAGAGAGAGAGAGAGAAAGTGAGAGAGAGAGAGAGAGAGAGAATGAATCTCAAGCAGGCTCCATGCTCAGCTTGAATCCCGATGTGGGGCTCAATCCATGACCCTGGGATCATGACCTGAGCCGAGATCAAGAGTCGGATGCTCAACTGACCAAGCCACCCAGGCACCCCACTTTTGCAACTCTTTACTGAATAAAGGAAAAACGGTGCCTAACGGTCAACAGTACTGGCTTTGGAATCTGATTTCCTGTCAGGGTTTGAATTTTAGTTTCACTATTATTTATCCACATGACCTTATAGATAAGAAGCTAAATTTTATAGTCCCAGTATTCTCCTTTATATGGATTGCCCTCAGCTTCATCCTCTGTAAGAGGATATTCATACTACCAAATTCTTCACTTTGTAGTCAAAATCTATTGACTTAATTTATTTTCAGTTCTTAACAGAGTGACTAAAATAGAATGAATATTTGGGAACTAGGAACTGAATTGCGCCCCACCCCCCATTCATATGTTGAAACCCTAGCCTCTAATGTGATAGTAGTTAGAGGTGGGTCTTGGGAGGTAATTAGACTTAGTGAAGTCATGAGGGTGGAGCCCCATGATGGGATCAGCATTCTCATAGGAAGAGGAAGAGAAACCAGAACTATGAGTATTCTGATCTCACTGGCAAGCTTTAAGCTATCCAAGGCTGAGTGTACTGACTGTCATTCATGTAAGGTGTCTGACTGATACTCAAAATTCACCAAACAGGTTTCTGACACGTTTTGTTTCTACATAAAATACTCACAGGTAAAGAATATCTTATCATATATATCTGAATGTCTAATTTCTGAGACAGTGATTTCTCATTGTAAATTAACAAATGTTCTTTATTATATATCAGTTTTATAAACACAGAAATCTGATTCTGAGATAGGGATATATGGAGTAACAAAATCAAGTCTTTGAACGTGAACAACTCTGTCAGATCAAAGCCATTACAAATTCTTCATGGTTTTGCAACTTTGTAAGAAGTCTCAGAAGAATCTATTAACCTTCTTCCCTAGGGTGGAGGGGTAAGGGGTGGCGGTACTCTTCTGTCAAGTTTAATTTCTCTAATGTTCAGCTTTAACATTACTTGTCTCCAGGGTTGTGCCCAAGCACCCACTTTGAATGTTCTGTAGTGTCAGAAATAATTCATCTCTCTTTCTGTCTCTCCCTTTTCACCCTTTTTTGTTTTCTCTCTCTTAAAAATATTATTCTTGCATCTAGGGTAATGGTTGCTTCCACTGGAATCCTAGAACTCAGAAGCTCATTCTTTTGGGGCACTATCTTCTCTCCTAAACCACACAGCATTTGCACAAAGACATTACCTACCCAAACCCTCTTATTATTAGAAGAAATTATAAAAGCTGACATGTTGGGGGGGGGCATTACTTGAAGAATGTGGTAAATGACTGAAGACAGATTAATATTTCTGGCATTTCTATCAAAAACCTATTATCCTCAGTAAAAATGAATAAGCAGGTGCCAACACAGATGAAACTAGGATGATTTTTATCTGTTCTGTCTCCATTGTCCACTAAGCCAGTCCTTCATAGAAGGGCTCACGCTTTTCTTCATAGAACAAACAGCTAGCTCATGCTTTTTACAGAACCCTTACACCATACATATTAGGATCAGGCCAGGGCCCAGGGCCAGCACAGGAAGGGCAGTATAATTTTCATGACTATATACTCACCAATACTTTATATTACTATATACTCATCATGTTCCTTACTATCCTTTTGTAATTCTATATCCCAATCAATACACTCCACCTCTCATAATTTACTATGATTTCTTACTTTAGTTTCTTCTTTTAATGGGAAAACAAACCACATTTTCACAACATGATGAAATTCTATATAAGTGAACAGAAGTGCTATAAATTGTTTTAACTTCTCAGAATTAGCTTATTCTATTACTCCACCTGCCATAATTAGTAGTAATAGCTTGAGTTTTCAAAACACAATTTTGAAATAAATTTCAGTAGACAGATGACTTTTTATAGATTGTTTCATAAATGCATGTAAAGTACACTTACTTGTGGAAGAAATCTTATTAATAAATGAAAAACGAGCACATATTTTAGAATATGTTTTAGAAAATATTTTTCCCACCACCAAACTTTTTAAATACTAACTTCCCCCCCCCATATTGAACTTTGGAGATTTTGTGAAACTTTCCATCTTTGTTAAAGATAAAAAGTTTCCCACTCTTTATTCAAGTTATTCTCAAGAAGAATAGGACAGTGGAAATGTCTTCCCAACTCTACTAAAAAAAAAAGGACATATTGAAGAAAAATAAAAGCCCACTCACACAAGCACACTGAAGGTCAGCTTGAATTAACCAACACAATTTGAAAGCACTGACTCACTTTGAACTCCATGGGAGCGTACTATTTTCCAGGTTTCTGATGCCACTTCTTTGACATCCACCTGATAGTGATGAATAGGCACACCTCCATGGGAGTCCGGCTTGTTGAAAGAAACCTTGGCTGTGGTCTGTGACAGCTCTATAATCTTCACTCCATAGGGACTGGATGGCACATCTACAAATTAGTAGAAACAAAGGAAATATAAGCCAGGTAATATGGATGGCCATTATTAAAATTTATGGTATTTTGAAAATTAGGAATAAAGGAACATTTCTCCCTATGTCAGTTAATATATGTGAATTACAAAGCTTGCATAAACTGATGAATGATGTCTTCAAATTGCAAGAAAGTACACATTAGTCAATCTTTACAACTATATCACATAAAGAATATTCAATATCAAATCTCATTGACTGGGGCAGTAATTATACTTGTCTTTTCTATACAATATTAGGATTTTATTTGCATTCATGGAAAACAAGCTTGTGTGTGTGTGAGAGAGAGAGAGAGAGAGAGAGAGAGAGAGAGAGAAGGAAAGACAGAGAGAGAGAGAGAGAGAGAGAGAAAGGGAGGGAGAGAAAAGGAGAGACAGAGAGAGAGGGAGGGAGGGAGAGAGACAGGGAGGGAGAGAGAGAGAAGGAGACACACACACACACACACACACACACAGACAGAGAGAGAGAGAGAGAGAGAGAGAGAGAGAGAGAGAGGATGCAGATACAATTAGAAGAAGAAGCAGGGGTGCTTGGGTGGGTCAGTCAGTTAAGCATGCAACTTTGGCTCAGGTCAAGATTCACATTCATGGGTAGGAGCTCTTCATTGGGCTCTGTGCTGACAGCTCAGAACCTGGAGCCCACTTCATATTCTGTGTCTCCCTCTCTCTCTGCCCCTCCCCTGCACACACTCTGTCTCTCTCTGTCTCTCAAAAAAAAAATTATATATATATATATATATATATATATATATGAAAAAAGCAGACTTTATTGAATTTTTAGTATAAATAGTTATCTTTTGTGAAAATTTGAGATTTATTTTCTCCTTGTTCATTCAAATTATATTAATAATTTTGGGAAAGTATTAAGTTTAGAACACATGTCATTATGAACTAAATAAAATTGCAAGCTGTCCGTTTTAGCTTCATTTATGTATTATTTAACTAAAACCTTTATTTGAAATAGTTAAGTTGTAATCACTGTATTTAAAAAAATAGCTATAAAATCTTTCTTGTGTGTGTTTTTGTATCAATTCATTACTCACATTATTTAAAATAAAGTATCCTGAAGGAAAATTTATATCATTTTCCAGCATACAAAACTTTATAAACAAGTATCAAAAATGGCAAAAAGGCAAGAGGGAAAAACAAAAAACAAGGGAGAAAAATTCTCATTGGAATTAACGAATTGAAACTTCTAGTGCAGAAACATGAAGAATTAGAGGCACATTAAACATTGAAGGGATCTGTCTATGTCTCTCAATTTATCTTTCTTTTCTCTTCCTTTTTAAAAAAGTAATCTCTATACCCAACATGGGGTTCAAACCCAAGATCCCAAGGAAGGTCAAAGAATCACATGCTATACTGAGTGAGCCAGCCAGAAGCACCTGTCTCTCTTTCTTTTCAATACCACATTGGAAACAATCATAAAATTGGAAAATTACATATAATTTACTTAAAAATATACATATATTATAAAAATATGATTAAATATGTCATTTCATCTTTGAACATAATTTTATTTTAAAAGGTGATTGAAAATAACAGTAAACGCAAATCCCTATTCTATATAATCAAACATTAATATAAAAATCTCTAATGGCTGTCAAAAGTCAACTGTCCCTTATTTGCTGAAGCTGAAGGAGAGCACGGTAGATCACATAAAAATATGCCTTATAATTGGTATTGGCAAGAGCCAGGAGGTCAGGTTTTTGGTCTTTGGATGTGAATATTGCAGAGAAATGTATCAATGTACATTTCAGCTCTAATTAGTAACAGTAAATTATTTGGAGATAATATTTTAAATGCATTATGGAATAACTCAAAGGTTTGGAAATAAATGTGTAGAATACGGATGCCTCCCAAAGTCATATTGCTATTAAAATCTTATCTGGAAATAAAAATTGTAAATTATCTAAATAATCTATGAAATGTCACCATACATAAACCTTATAATATTTTCATGTTTCTTTAATCCCTAGATTATAACTGTAGGTTCTTTTCACCCGTAGGTTTGATCTAAAGTTTACAGAAAGGAAGCACACACACACCAACACATTGTTGTTTTTTTTTTTAATATGAAATTTATTGTCAAATTGGTTTCCATACAACACCCAGTGCTCATCCCAACAGGTGCTCTCCTCAATGCCCATCACCCAACCTCCCCTCTCTCCCACCCCCCCATCACCCCTAAGTTTATTCTCAGTTTTTAAGAGTTTCTTATGGTTTGGCTCCCTCTCTCTCTAACTTTTTTCCCTTCCCTTCCTCTCCCCCCATGGTCTTCTGTTAAGTTTCTCAGGATCCACATAAGAGTGAAAACATATGGTATCTGTCTTTCCCTGTATGACTTATTTCACTTAGCATAACACTCTTCAGTTCCATCCATGTTGCTACAAAAGGCCATATTTCATTCTTTCTCATTGCCAAGTAGTATTCCATTGTGTATATAAACCACAATTTCTTTGTCCATTCATCAGTAGATGGACATTTAGGCTCTTTCCATCATTTGGCTATTGTTGAAAGTGCTGCTATCAACATTGGGGTACAAGTGACCCTATGCATCAGCACTCCTGTATCCCTTGGGTATATTCCTAGCAGTGCTATTGCTGGGTCATAGGGTAGATCTATTTTTAACTTTTTGAGGAACCTCCACACTGTTTTCCAGAGTGGCTGCACCAGTTTGCATTCCCACCAACAGTGCAAGAGGGTTCCCGTTTCTCCACATCCTCTCCAGCATCTATAGTCTCCTGATTTGTTCATTTTAGCCACTCTGACTGGCATGAGGTTGTATCTCAGTGTGGTTTTGATTTGTATTTCCCTGATGAGGAGTGTCGTTGAACATCTTTTCATGTGCCTGTTGGCCACCTGGATGTCTTCTTTAGAGAAGTGTCTATTCATGTTTTCTGCCCATTCCTTCACTGGATTATTTGTTTTTTGGGCGTGGAGAAGAATGAAACTAGACCACTTTCTTACACCATTCACAAAAATAAACTCAAAATGGATAAAGGACCTGAATGTGAGACAGGAAACTATCAAACTCTAGAGGAGAAAGCAGGAAAAAACCTCTCTGACCTCAGCCGCAGCAATTTCTTACTTGACACATCTCCAAAGGCAAGGGAATTAAAAGCAAAAATTGACTATTGGGACCTCATGAAGAGAAAAAGCTTCTGCACTGCAAAGGAAACAATCAACAAAACTAAAAGGCAACTAACAGAATGGGAAAAGATATTTGCAAATGACATATCGGACAAAGGGCTAGTATGCAAAATCTATAAAGAACTCACATTGATTGTTTAGAAGACTGCCAATTCTTCACCCCCATGCCCATGACTCTCTAATGTCAACTAGGCCTAAATTGGACAAAATGGCAATTCTAATCTTCAGTTTAAGGATACTTTTTTTTTTTTTAATTTTTTTTTTCAACGTTTATTTATTTTTGGGACAGAGAGAGACAGAGCATGAACGGGGAAGGGGCAGAGAGAGAGGGAGACACAGAATCGGAAACAGGCTCCAGGCTCTGAGCCATCAGCCCAGAGCCTGACGTGGGGCTCGAACTCACGGACCGCGAGATCGTGACCTGGCTGAAGTCGGACGCTCAACCGACTGCGCCACCCAGGCGCCCCAAGGATACTTTTAAAAAACAATGATTCAGTTGCTTAAGTGCCTGACTGTTGATTTCAGCTCAGGTCATGATCTCATGGTTTGTGAGTTCAAACCCCACAATGGGCTCTGCATTGACAGTGCTGAACCTGCTTGGGATTCTCTCTCTCTCTCTCTCTCTCTCTCTCTCTCTCAAAATAAAGAAATAAACTTAAAAAAATAAAAAAAGAAAGGTACTAAGTACTGAGGTTGGGAGGAAGAGATGTGATACCTCTTGGGCTCCACCTTTGAGCCCATTTGGAAGGGGTCCACACATTTGGAAGGGACATGGTCCTTGATTCTTACTCTGACCACAGACATATGCAGTATCAACTGAGCTGTGCACTTGACATGATACAACTACAGATAAATAAGGCTTTTTTTCTTAGCATGAAGGTACCACTACCAAAACTTGACGGGGCGCCTGGGTGGCGCAGTCGGTTAAGCGTCTGACTTCAGCCAGATCACGATCTCACGGTCCGTGAGTTCGAGCCCTGCGTCAGGCTCTGGGCTGATGGCTCGGAGCCTGGAGCCTGTTTCCGATTCTGTGTCTCCCTCTCTCTCTGCCCCTCCCCCGTTCATGCTCTGTCTCTCTCTGTCCCAAAAATAAATAAAAACGTTGAAAAAAAAAAAAAACAAAAAAACTTGAGCCAGCGGGTATCTTTTTCTGGCCAGATAGTCTATTTTCAGACCTGTTGACTCTTACTCTGGTTTTCCATTTATATTTACTTTTTGTTTGCCTCTACTTTCTGTTACCTGACTAAAAGAAAAACATGCTTGTGACTAATATCTTCCTAAATATTTTTCTTTTATATTCTGATTTTATATGTCCAACCACTTACTGGCTACCAAATTATTCCATGTATATGTGTATACTGGCTACCAAATTATTCCATGTATATGTGTACACACACACACACACACACACACACACTCACTCATTGAGTGAGTAAAAGGGACTGGAATATACTCAGTCCCCAGGAAATATATGACGAATTAAACATTTCAGTAATTAAAAATAATATACAAAGTAGAGAACATATTCAAGTGAATAGGGCCGAATATGCCTAGAACCAATGTCTCTAATTCTTCACCCTCTCCATTGTTTTTTTTTTTTTTAACACAGGTAACTTTATTTTTTTTTTCAATATATGAAGTTTATTGTCATATTGGTTTCCATACAACACCCAGTGCTCATCCCAAAAGGTGCCCTCCTCAATACCCATCACCCACCCTCCCCTCCCTCCCACCCCCCATCAACCCTCAGTTTGTTCTCAGTTTTTAAGTCTCTTATGCTTTGGCTTTCTTCCACTCTAACCTCTTT